TAGAGGAATTCAAACATGATGCAGCCAACAGACCACCAATCACTGGTCTCGTCTTGCTTCTCACCGTTGATAGTCTCGGGGGCGAGGTAGTCGGGTGTCCCCACAAAACGGCGGTTGGTGTCTTCGGGATCGAATAGGGCCATCGGCGGAGGCATCATCGTAGACTGAGGCGGAGTATTCTTTCCCAGGTAGTCAATGCTGGACTGAGTGCTGGTGTGGTGGAGTGCCGCCATGTCTGGCGACGGTTGTCCGGTGCTTTCATTCGCATCATCCTGCGTCGGCTGCGCGTTTTGGGCCGGGACATTGTGCTCTTGATCGGTCAAGGTAAAGCTGTTGAGCATGCGAGCAAGAGTTTCGCTGCCACCGCTATCGCTACGCTGGCTGGAGACTCGTCGGGCCTCCGGCCCTCCCAAGGCGAAGTATGAGGGCTGACCCCCGCTGGAGCCAGTGTCAGGTGTCATCTGCGGCGTCATGCTAGGCGAGTGAGTATGACCATGAAGGTCAAGCGAGGTTGACCGAGACGATGCCAGAGATGCTGAGCGGGCAAATGGCCCCTGCTTGAGGAGATCAGGCGTGGGATCGGAATTCTGATTGTCCAGCGCTCGCTTCTGTCGCCCAACTAACCCCATGCGCGATAAACCGAAATCCGTGAGTTTCAGGTGACCCTTTTGGTCGATGAGCAAATTGTCTGGCTTGAGATCGCGGTGAATGATGCTCCGACTATGCAGGTGTTCCACGCCAAGAACCACCTCACCCAGATATTTCTTCACCCAGTCTTCTGGCAGACCACCCAGAACCTTGATCAGAGACGCACAGTCGCCACCGTTGAGATACTCCATCACGAGATACAGGTAATCTTTGCTGGAAAAGGTCCAGTAGAGCTTAGCGACGAATTCGCTGGTGCCTTGCCACATCATGATGGCGCGTTCAGCCTTGACATTGCCCACCTGATTCTTGGCAACCATGTCTGCCTTCTTCAACACCTTGATAGCGAAGTATTCTCCAGTTGACTTCTTCTTGGACAAGTAGACACTGCCAAAAGCGCCTTTGCTGATTGGCTTGATGATCTCGAAATCTTTGATGGAAGGAGGCGCCGGCCTTGCCTGAGGAGGAGGCTGGTGGGCAGCCATTCTAGGGGATGGTGGACCTTTCATGACAAACTCGGACATGGCTGCTGAGGACTGTCGCCGGTGGTGATTTGCTGGCAAATGAGCTGGAGAGCTGAAATCACTCCCGGGTAGCAAGGGTGATGCTTCTGGTGATGTAATGCCATCTTGTGGAAACGGGAAATTGCGCGGCTTGATGATTCGTAGAGGGGACGACGGTTGATTCATACGCGAAGGTGACTCCTGTCGTCGAGGTGAAGACGTACCGGGCAGAATGATGCTTCTACGATGATGCTGTCTCGAGCTAGCTGCACGACGAAGATCGCCAAACTCAGATATCGGAGAGTCGGTACGCGGTGGCTGTCGAGAAGTCACAGAAGAAGAGCGAATACTTCCATCGCTGTCTCCAGCGTCACTCTCGAAAAGCAACGACTCTCGCCGGGACTCGCGGGCAGGTGCAGTTGGGTTCAGACCACCCAAATTCGATCTTGGCGTCGGACACTCTCTAGGGCTGCTTGAGCGCGCAGATTCCACAAAGGAGGTAGGTCTTGGCCTGTCGTTGTTGTCATTGAGGCTGACATTTTGCAGAGCAGCCGCGAGGGCTGAAGGATTTTCAAATGATCCTTGGAAGAAGAGCTCCTCTTGCGCCGGTGTAGCTTGTTCCTCTTCCTCGTCTTCAGTCGAATCGCTCAGCCGACCAGCTGCGATTCGAGCTGCTTTCCGCATTGCTTCATCTATGCAGTCCTGGACGATGACCGCGAATTCAATCCTGATGCGCTCCGCATACTCGATGATTTTCCGGTGTCTGAAGACGGCTTCAACCTTGGTTTTCGCGGCCTTTTCAGTGTCGGCGCAGAGCAGAGCCAGGCCCTGCTCCTGTTCCAGAGTGTTGGTGCTGGGAGATTGCCATTGCATGACTTGTGAGATGCGGGACTCGGACTGAGGAGATTGCGTCCTGATCTCGCCAGGGTTTTGCGACGAAGCCTCCTTCACCGCTGGAGTGCTGACTTCAATGGCGGTATCGCAGAGGTCAAGGAGCAACTCTACGATCCTTGCTTGAGGACGTCTGATGGCGAAAGATCGAGCTCTGGAATGACCGAACCCACCTGATCTCTCTCTCGATTGCGAAACGGAACTCCCGGGGGATGACGAGGCTGATAGAGGAGGACCGATTGGCAGGCCCTTGTACTCAGCAGCAGGGCCAGATAGTTGGTCGCCTGTGAGTGGCCGGCTTTTTCTCGCCTCGAGAGCATCGAGAACTTTCACAATGGAGTGTCGGTGGTCCGTCAAACTGTCCTGCGCCATCTGTACATCCATCTCTGCCCGATGCTCCTGCAGACACAAGTCGGTATGTTTTTCGAACCACCAAGGAGAAATTTGTCGCTCGCAAATACGGCACAGAACGGGCAAAGGCGGCGGGTGGTTTTCGGGGTCATCGACGCCAGACTCGGCTAGCTGCGTGAGATAGCTTGCGAGGACTTCAGCACCAGATCCAAGAGAGTCGACAATCACAGCAGGGAGGTCAATCTTGATCTCTCTGGGTGCAATATAGGGTCGAATCATCCACATAGTCTAGCAGGCGCCTTGTTAACAAAAAAGTCAGGCTGGTAACGGCAGTATGGATACTTACATGACTCTCTCCTCCCGAGACACCATCGTAAACCATGATGCCCTGGGCTTCCAGATCAATGGCCTCGGGAACCCCTCCGTCGGCCTCATTGGGCTCCTGGTCTTGAAGGCCTTCAACGGGTAGCAACCTGGATAGTGGACCCATTGTGACGGCGAAGCGTACTCTGTGGCTCCGCGAGTCGTCCTTCTTCATGTACTCTACGGTATCCGCGAATGCCGTCTTGTTCTCGCTGACGATCAAATCGGCTATCGCAGTTCCTTTGACCGAGTCGGGCAGAGTGCCTATCACATCGGTCCATGACGGACTGACCCATCGAATAGTGCCGTCGAGGTTGAGGTCAAGAATGACATTGAGAGTCTGCTCGGCAGCTTCACGTAGTTCTTCTCGTTCCTCTCGGATATCTTCGCTCAAAGACCGTTCCATGACGCCGGCCTGTGCCCGGAGAGAGGTCACGGCCGGTGGCGCCAGCATGTTGAGTTGCGGTGGTTCCATTGTGGGAGAGAAGCGGGTGAGATCCCGGATTGTTTCGATACCATTGGCCGTTTTGAATCGTCTCGGCAAGCGAGGACTTTCTGGAGAGTGTGTGTTCGAGGTAGGGCGTGAGGATGTCGTGGCTGTTGCAAGTCGCGAATTGGTTCAACTCGAAAGACCGAGTAAGAGCCAGGTTGTCTGGCAAAGGGCCAAGACTAAAGGCAAGCCAGACCACGAGACATGACGGGAATCGAAGCGAAAGGGTCCAAGGCACAAAGTAGCGATGGGAGAGCTCTAGTGTTGGACACAAGACACTACCCACTCTGGTGCGGAGGCGTGGAAAGAGAACTGAAGGTATTGTTGGCGACGAGCGGTCGAAGACTCCAGGAAAGGAGCTTGGGAATCGGAAGGGGTGGGCTCGACGTGGGTGGAAGTGAAGGTGATCGAATGCCAATGGGGGTGGTGGTTCTGGTGGACCGACCGACCAAGGTTTCTTCGTTGTCTATTCGAAAGACGGGCGAGGACGGAATGAGTCGACGAGGGGAGACGCGAAGGTGAACGCGACGATAGGCGTTGCAGTCAGGGCCAGAGCTCGCAAAGGTCGTTGGCCGTACTGGACCTTGTGTGTCGTCGTCAAACAAAACACCAAGAGAAATCCTGGTAGGAAGAAAAAAAAAAGAACCCAGGGAACGGCACAGGCAAAAGTTGACGCCGCAGGGTGGCCCTTTGTGATGATGGTGTCAGTCACTCATTACCGTCTTTACGTTGGCCTATTTGCGTTTAGCACTTAGCAGCCCTCAGTTAAGGTACGTGGGTGGAAGGTACAGAGGAGAAACTCTCCAGGTCGGTCTCAATCAGGTCGGCAAGAGCCCAGTCAAACCGAGCCAGCACTATCCACGCCTCGAAGCAAGCAGGGCAAGAGGTGCTCAGTGGTCGCGTCCTTATTATGGGTCTTGAGAAGCATTTGGTGGTCAGGGTGGGTGAATAAAGCGGGGATATAGGGACCGTCTGGCCAATCAAAGAAGTATGCACCAAGCTCGACCCAGTAGATGTACATGCATAACACGCCAAATCTGTATGCGACGCCGCGTACTTCTACTCAATGCAGTCTAGGGCCATAATCAGTTAGCTCGGTAGCTAAAACACGAGCGAGGGTGTCGGGGAGTCGGGTGTGACTTTTTGGGGCTTTTTTGGGGGAAGTGGAGGGGATAGGAAGGCAGAAAGGTGGAAGGAAAGGGAAGGGAAGGGGCAGGAGCAGAGGAAAATCCAAGAAGGTGCCCGCCTGCCGTACCTAGCTAGGTACTTGCCCTCACTTGACGCGACCTACACAGTAGGTAGGTAGGCACTTGGCTGGGCAGGTAAGGTAGTGTAAGGTACCTACTGTGTATTCATAGGCACGGGGTACGTACAGCAGGTAGGAAAGACGGGACAAGAGAGAGGGCGGAGAAGACCACCACCTCACCACCGCACCACCTCGAGTCACACATTGGACGAGACGGGAATCGGGACACTGGCCCTGCCCTGAGCCCTGGCCATTGCATCACGCTTCGGCTTCGCTGGGCTGGTGGAGGGGCAGCCACTTGGGGGTGACCACTCGGAGGTTTTGTCCGCTGGAAACAAATCAACAACGGTCCAGCGGACAGGGCAGAGTTGTTGTGGTCAGTCCCAGGCTTCTTGCTTCAAGGTTCCGCTCTCACTCAGTATCACCAGCACGGAGCTGCCTTTACCTTTACGGATACCCTTTGTTTCTTTGCCTCATCGCCATCACGGTCTCTTTCCAACTGCCTCAGGAGTCACGACACACGTCGCCCGTCACTCATGTGCCTCATTGGCATCCCAGGTATCAGGGAGACGGAGAAATCGGGGGGCTCCGAAGACCCGCGGAGGGGTGGGGACAGGAAAAGGAGGAGGAAAAGGAAGACGGCAACCCGGGAAAAGAAACGAGTTACCAAGGACAAGACGAAAATCAACAACGGCCATGCAAGAAATCCTGCGCAGCAACACTTATACAGTACACCATGCATCGAGACCCTCCAAACCCACGGCCTACCTCGCCCTACCACCCTCAACTCCCGGCCTTTCGCACACCCACACGCAACTCTTCTGGTGTTTGTACGGATAGAGCGACAGTCACCGTGCTCGGCAAAGAGTCGGTCGTATCATATCTCTCGAGCTTTGTTTTGCTTTCCTTATCTCTGGTGTTGCTACCCATCTCCCTTGCGCCCTCTAAATGGTAACAAGAACGGACTCGGCGGGCAAATCAACGCTTTCGTCCCCTCTCTGCAGTGTTGCTCTTTTGCCTTTACTTCCGACATGATACACGTACTGCACCCCTTCTTCAAACTTCAGCCCAAGACGACCTTGTCTTTACACCAAGGGAGAGCGCCAGAAACACCAGGCCAAAGTTTGACACGACCACATGGGAAACTCTGCTCCTCCTGCTCCCTTGCGCGGCACGCTAGCCAAACATGCCTGTCTCTCGCAAAATGCCATTCATGGCCCATGGATCATTAATACGGAGATGGGCGCGGCTTATTTACCACCAACTCAACCGGACCCTCCAAAGACATCTCTCCAAGGGTCCACCAGCCAAATGCCATTCTCGCAAACATGGCTGTCCCATCTTCGGTCCTCCAGCTCTCAGCCCCCGCCTTCCAACGCCGAAGCCGAGGCCACTATCCACATGGTCCGTCACAGGAGACACAAGGACAACAAGCTAGAGCACAACTATTTTTCAACGGTCACTCCTCCACTCCAATTCCGTTGTCGAGCGACGTAATTCAGTACCACCTATGACAGAGTACAGGGGGCCTTTTGGTTAGCAACAACCCACGCAACCCTCGTTTGTCTAGCTGACACCGCTCGACTTTGGATGGATGACATCCGCGTTTCCGCCGGTTAGTCAGTACAAGCCGATGCCGCACGTTGGTCCCGCCGGTGACAAAAGTGCAGGGCATGCTAGATGGCACTTGCATTGGGGCTTCCCGTCCCAGCCCATGCCATCGTGGTGAGACACCATCAGCTGGTCTCCTCATCAAGAGGTGTCGTAGCTAATTGGAGAGGAAACCTCCTCTCGAAGTGTCAATACTCAACACCCTCGTCGCGACATAGCCATGGGTGGCTTGCTAGTATCCTATCGTGCCACGAGATAGCCCTTTTGGTGCATTCTATTCGGAATACACCGTCACATTCGCGGTACCACGGCACCTCAGCCTGTTGGCCCTATCAAAAACAGAAAAGTCTCCGCCTAAAGCTGTGTTTACGTTTAATACTCGCTGCCCGCGGTTTCCTGCGTTCCTGCTTGACCATAGGGTCCTCTTGACGGCGCCGCCGGTCCCAGGTTGTCACCCCTCCTTTGTTTTGGGGGCTGCGGATCTCTGTGAGGGACACTCAGATCGTCGATGGGCCATCCGGGATGGATCCCTTCGAGAATGCAAACGACCTGGCTCCGGCCGACCCCTCAGACTGCGCTGATCTCCATTGGGCATCCCCAGTCCGGGGTGTCTCAAGTTTACAACAAGTGGCAGAGAGATTGAAATCGCCTCGTGCTGTTTCTAACCACGATGAAGCCGGAGCAAACGGTGTTCAAACAACTTCCTGTCCAATATCAACCCTATCTCAGAGAAGACACAGAGAATCATAGATCCCACGGAAAATCAATTGGCATCTATGGATGAAGCCAATAGAAATTGGTCCTTGACTAACGTTCATCGGCTCAGGAAGGAAGGGTGACGACGAGTGAATTACTACACTTCCTCTCCACTACAACTCAACCGATTACATACAGAACCAATTCTCTTCAAACGGAGGTTGCAGAGCCTCGAAACAAAGGCAGTCTAAACTGGTCATTCAATGGGGGGACTCTGCGAATGCCTGACGTTGCTTCGTACTCCTCCACACGCGCCTTTGAGTCTTTGCCATGACTGCTGGCATTCCCAGTTTGTCATGGCACGCGTGCCACACCCACGAATTTGTACACACCTTTTCCATGGCAAACACCACCACTGCAGGACAAGTGTTCAGCAACCCTTTCGTGCAAGGTCTTAGGTAACGTTCTCCGGTGTGCAGCTGCATGCTCCTCTATCTGCTCACCGGTCACCTCGGCCAGATCTCGACATTATGTTGAAGCGTGCCATCTTACACACTCCCATTGCGTCAACCTCAGCAAAGATGGATGTGTCGTCGACCAAATTACCGTAGAGAAACGCTGTTAGCCACCTTGCAGCCTGCCAGCGATTCAGGGGCGCCACCCAATGCCCGGGGTGCTGTGGAACGGTATGCGAGTTGTCAGCGGAGCAAAAGGAGTCTCGAAGCCGGAAAGACTGTCGCGAAGAAAACGTGCTCCACACGCCGCTCCGAACGACGACCCACGCGAGGAGTCGAGACAGGCTTGACAGTGTTATGAACCCGTTTCGCCTGGGCCCAATGCACCTTCACAACGGCAGTTCACCACAGCCGCTGGCACCACCATCTCACGACGTTCATGTGAGGTGACAATACTATCTGCGGTGGTCTCCCACCGCCAATGCTGCTCACCGGGATCTCCCACCTCAATCCTGCTCTCTGGCATCCCCCCTACTCACTTGGACGCCTCACAGCTTTAATAGCTGAGATCGACTTCAACTCCCCCCAAGACGCCCGCGCCAAGCGTTCTGCCCGCATGATGTCGCCTTTCCCGCCATCCCTAACATCCAAAACCAATCGGCGATAGGGTGAGTTCAGAATCTCAGCACGTTGACTACTAACGCATTCCTGAACATCGACTATCGAATCACCTCGAGTTCCCAGCATGCGGGGTGTGCAGCGTGAGCACATTGCTGCAACGTGCTGCAACGCGACACCCTCAAATGCTGTTTGTTTGACTCCCTCTATGCCTCTCTTCGACTTCTTTCTAATTCTTCGATGCGATCCGCTTCACCGACTAATCCGAGAATCTTCGTCATCCCGACCACCCCTGCCGCTCACACATACCCTGCAACCTTCTATTCTATCAGAACACTAGCTTCTCGAAAGCCTTCTCGCTAAGAATAGTCAGCAAACTCATGGGAACGCTTACACTTTCCCAGCCCACCGACGGGGTAGTGGTGCCGAATCGAGATTCCGCCTCTGAATATACTCCCCAGACATAGCCATGGCGTCCCATTGACAAGACTGGCGTACCCGGTTGTGCGCCCCCAATCGTCTGGTCCAACTAATCGAGCTGCCAGTCTTTCTTGTCTACTGATCACCTCTTCGTCTCTCCCATCGGCAGAGAGCTCAGATATCGATGATGATCCATTGCAATGTGCTCTATAACGCCTACCTAGGAGTGCTAGGTAAGGAATGACGGGTTTAACTCGCTTACCTCGCTCAGTCGAGTAGACTGTTCGTCCAAAGCACAAAGCACTGTCTTTCTCTGCCCAATGATTTCAGCGCTGGAATGAATGAAGCGAGAGTAATTCACGACCCTGCCTGCTATCAGTCCAAAAATTCCACGGGACGCCATCCCAAACATGCCAGAAGCTCAGACGGCGAGAGTTTTCCGATTAGAATTAGCCCCCTCCTTTGCCGCAACCCCAGACAACCTTAACGACTCATGCTACTGCATGTCTCTCTGTCTCTGAAAGTCAGACTTCAGAGCAGCCGCTGCGCCGGCGGTTTGGAGAAAGCCTCAATTACCCCAGATCCATCCTTGGCCCCGGCTTCATGCCACAGACCGTCAGACAAACCCAGCTCCGGCTTCTCTTCCGCCTACAAGGTTGTGGGATCCTGCTGGATCGTCAAGTCAGCTGGCCGTAAAAGCACGGTCTTGGTCCCCCCCCCCCCCCCCCCCCAGCACCCCACAACCCCCCCCCCCCCCCGTTCTTCCCCCCCACGACGGGTGTGGCTCCCCCTGGAGCGAACAGGGCGGTGGGCAAAAAACCCGGCCTTTGCCCCCCCCCCCCCCCCCCAAAAAAAAAAAAAAAAAAAAAAAAACCTTCTCAGTGCGTTTGTTCTGCCAATCTTAGCTCAACGCCGACTCGAACTCCCAGTTCTTTCTCATTGTTTCTCTTTTGGACATGACGTTCCCGTCCACTTTGAGAGGCGGCAGGCTGGCAAGGTCCCGCAACCGCTAGGTGTCTCGAACCTCAGTCTCTGTGAGAAGATGGGATGACTAAAGACGCCTCCCGCGATCTACAGAGGCGGTCAGTTCTGCTGATCGACGTCGAGCGGAGTGGACGTGGGCGGGTGACCTGGTGGCTGGGAGGCACAGAGGTCTCCTTGCCCAGCCTGACATTCTCTGAATTGACTTTTCAGACAGTATTTCTATATCCCAGAAATTAGAATGGTTCTAGCGACCCTGCCAGTCACTGTGAGGTTACAGGCCGGAAGAGTTCGTTCAGATTCAATCTGTCCCTGTTTAACTCGCTACCGAAGGCCAATCCGGGTACAAGGTACCTTGTGCTTGTTAGCTGCGGATGTGTAGTAGGCAGTGCAAACTTTCCGAGCTGGGTTCTCCATGGATGTTTCTCTCACATATTGGCAGTCTATTATCAGTGGGAGTGGGAGACACTATAGGCATGTCTCAGAGTTTCTCAAGTTCCGCGTCTGTCTCATGGCCAAACGCTCGAGACGACACTACTACCTTACTTTGATGACTTTATGGCCCGCATTACTGCCGTACTTGTGAGCACACCAGTTCCCGGAGGCATCGATAATTTCTTCTCTCAAGAGAGCGATGTGTGTTGTGCCATTCTCTCGATGATAGCAGCAGCTACCTACTGGAGTGCCACGCACAGGTATACTAGTGAAGTAGGACAGATGACATACCCCAGATATGGGGTTTAAGAACAGATGGCTTGTTCTGAGACAGTTGTATGGGTATGTCTAATATTCTTTGGTATATTTGAGTATGCCATGGCTCAAGTTCTGTAACTCCATCCCAAATGCCATGAGATCGCTCAGCCACTTCGAGTATGCGGTGGACTGAGAGCAGGAATGTGGTCAAGCGCCGTTGATCTACATTCTATGTTAGTGTGACTAGTTCCAATTGAATGGAGGGCTT